TTTTGTTATTCCGTTGATATTCTTTTATTTTACTTGTTTTTAAATACTCTATGACCTTTTTAAGCGTTTGAGATTGAATAATATTCTTATCGCGTACTTCGTCGATCGTCTAACCGTCCATATCCAATTCCGTCTCTACACCGTCCTGATGCGTAAGCGAACTTGTTCGATGACAACACGATGTTCATCGTATGTCCAGTATAGAGTAACGTATAGCCGACCCAAAATTAATTAATGTTGGTAAAAAAAAGATGATGGTTGCTTATTATACATCGAAATAAAATGATATGATGTGTACAAAACCGGTTTATTCGCCGTTCACCGAGCTAGCGATTCGGTGCACAGTCTAACTACAAATGCTTATGCAATTCAGATTCACCGCCAGTGGAGCCAGTTATCGACGCTGAGTGCATTCTATCTAACCATCCAACCAGCTGGATCCCCCTCTTTACATAGCAGATATTGGAATATTCGATAGAAGGTTTTTATACGTGGTAGAGCCAGCACGAATGGACTGGGTGACTCATCAATTGGACTGTGGGCTCGTTTGTCACCCTTTTCTATATAAAAAAATATATCAGTTAGCAGCAGCTGTCAATGAACTGCAGTACCTCCGGTTGACAAGTTCATTAGCCGCTCTTTTACAAGTAAGGATGACAGAGCACATAGTATATCTTATATTAAGCGAATGCTGTATCTTTTACTTCTATATGTTTACTCGATTAAGAATCAAAATGCAGACGCGTTATCACCTCTACGGACTAAGATGGAATGCCTAGTTTCCTGTAAAAGGGTACCTAGTTATCGTCACTTATCTCGAAACAGTAGTAATATGCTGCCATTTTACGAAGGTATTCTGTGAGACCGTGGTTCTACCCCGGTCGATCCGATCTATTTGTGTTACACTTATATCAGGTAAAAAATAGTGTATTATGAGAAAAGTGTGGTTTGCAAGACGATGTTGTGACCAGGATTAAGAAAGCAATTCTCTGGTGGGTTGACCATATAGAAAAATTTAATGTGGAAAAAGTTATCACCATTATCATTACAGCCTTTTATAAGTCCATTGCTCAACATAGGCCTTCCCCACCTGCAAAGATCGACTTCCTGCATATCTTACCAGGTCGTCACTCCATATAGTGGGTGCCAGCCGCCCTACACTTTGCTTACCGGTACGAGGCTACCACTCGAGAACCTTTCTTCCCCATCTGATGTCGGTTATTTGATCTATATGGCCGGCACATTGTCACTTCAGCTTACCGATTCTTATACATCAAAACTTGAAAACAAGTTTGTACAACCAGTTGCTTAATGACTTATGGATCTGAGACATGGTCCTTCACTGCAGGCCAAATGAGGAAGCTCAAGGTCGCTCAGCAGCAGTTTTGAACAAGTGGCAGAAGTGAACGACAGTGTCGGCAAGGGACACACTATACTCTTTTTTTTCTTTTTAAAAAACGCTACCCCCACACTAGGATTTTCTCCTGAATCGTGGAGGCAGTTTACAAACACAAATTGCACAAGGACAAAAATCCAGATTCGGAACAATTATTTTCAGGCCATACAAATACTTGTTCCGTGCGGGATTCGAACCGGCGGCCTCCAACGCAGCAACTCATTGCTAAGCCACTGCGCCACGGAGCCGTCATACGAATGTTTATCGACCAAATTGGCGATACATTGTAGATGGAACCTACGAGTATGTACTCGTATGCGTAAGTATATGGATGTAAAGGAGGCGAGAGAGATGTGCCAGGATCGTGTCAAGTGCAAGTCCGTAGTCTCTGCCAACCCTTCTGGTCTGCCTGAGTGCTTACGTTAGTTTTAGGCTCTACAGTTTAACTTTTCATTTTAAATTAAAAGTTACAATGAACTATTTCAGAGACAACCAAACGGCATGATCGCTCTAAAATTAGTGGTTATAATAACAGTGCTGGCAACAGCATCTTGCTGGCAGAACCGCCGCCGTGCACTCCCACTACCGAGGGAGACTCCAACCGAAGACCCCAACTTCGAGGAGGTGAAGAAGGTGCCCTGTGATTTTTTCAACAACTACTGCGGCAGCGAATCCAATTTAATTCAACCGATGGGCGGCGGCGGATTTATAGTTCCTGGATAGAGAACCAAAGTTGATTTCATGAGAAATACTTATTCGTCGAAAAATGTGTTTTTAGAGGTGTACCATCGATCACTAATAAAAAACTAGATACTTACACAATCCCATGCAATAGTTATCTAATGGGGCCTATTATATACACCATGATGGACGAATTCTAGCGATCACGATCGTGTAGAGGGCATAATCGCCTATAACTGCCCATGATCGGTAATGATCGAGCGTAATGGCCGCTGTGTCGGTTTTTCGGACAAACATCAAAGGAAGTTCGGCCATGATCGTGCGCGCGTCTACGTGATCGCCGAACGCCGATGCGCTATAAACTTACCTTGTTACATTTCGTTGTATAGTTAACATACACCGAAATAGAACAAGTAGAAATAGTGATTTCTTATATTTACGCGAACACTACACATTGAATCAAACTACTTTTACGGATTTTATCTCGTTTAAGTTAACTTAATTAAACGCGATAAAATTAAGTAGAAATAGAATACCTTCCTTTGTTTTTTTTACCAGTCTGTTATGGTCTACATTTCAATAAAAGTTATATTATAAAGTAATTAAAATATATAGTGGCAGCTGTTTCAACTTCCATCTCGGACAGATGACAATACAAATATATGGGTATGGGATGCACGATTGTATGGGCAGCGCAATGATTGTGACAATCATGCCCCATTCTGTGGTTCTCAATCATGGCCAATGGTGTATAAGCGGGCTAAAAACTGTCGCCAATTGTTTTGACGTAATTCTAGTTAAAATAAATATACATTAATGTAAATTCAATCTTAAATGCATACCTACTTAAAGTCGTCTTTACAAAGCTACGTACAAATTTAAAGCGCACCCAAATGTTCGAGTGGACGCTCATTCGGTAAGGACATTTTTGTCACTGATTGTGTATTTAGTTTTTTTATTAGTGATAGATGTGATGGGCCAAAGATTTCTGTGGATACTACTGGACCGGCAATTCGGAACAAAAACTGTGTCAAACCTGTGAATCGCGCGGGCGCCGCGCTTTGGTTCATTCGCTGGCATGGTTTCATTTATGACAGTTACCGGTTTTAGCAAATCTGTACATCTATACAAGTAAATAAAATTGAAGTGTCTGTTTCTAATGTCAAAATAACAGCTTTTTACTAAATGCAATTTTTTAAATTTTTGTCTGTCTGTTTGTTCCGGCTAATCTCCGAAACGGCTGGACCGATTACGACGGGACTTTCACTGGCAGATATCTGATGTTATAAGAAGTAACTACTAAATTTATTTTAGAAAAAGAATTAGGGTTCCGCGCAAAAAAATTAAAACCCAAATAACACGCGGGCGAAGTCGCGTGGAACAGCTAGTATGAAGTAAGGTTACGTACTTTTCTGAAATACTCTTTAACTCACGCATGTTTTTTAAATAAAAAAAAAAACATGCGTGACTGTCGTGGAACACTCAGTTGGAACGAAGTTCCTTATTATTGATAAACGTATTATACTATTGATTAACAAATACAAATAAATGTTTTACTAGTGTCTATTAAAATGAAGCGTCATTTAAAATAAAATACACTATGACACAAGGGGTAGTGACGAAAAAAATCTTACACTTTTTGTCGCCTAGCTCCCATCTGCCAAACCCGTATCGTCGGATAAGGAACTTCGTTCCAATAACAGCATTTTCTTAGTCACATTAAACAAAGCCACTGTTAGATTGTAGAAAACATGAAGCTACGGAGAATTGACTGTAATGTACGAGTACTATAGGGCCTGTCTCATAGTATACAATGCGATTAAAATAAGAATAGGAACGTTAATGACCTCGAATGAGCGCGATCTGTCAACCGTCACTTGAAAAGTACAGCTGTCAAAGAAAGTTATTTGCGTATTAAAACATTTTTTTTTTCGCTTTATTGAGATTTGATAACACTGAGACTCACTTGTATATAATACAGTTACAAATAAATATTTTTATAACTTAATTAAAATTATTGATACCTACTATTCGTAGGAATATTTTAAATACCTACATAAACCCATGTTCCATTTTATGAGGGAAAGCAACAAAGATGATAATGATGACAATGATGACTCCTCACGCATTTATTCAGATAAATTTTTCTTAGATCATAGTTCTTTTGTTAATAAATATTTTTTAAATATATCTGTTTTGCTCACCCTACCTAACTGGTTAAAATTTATTGCTATGACGTCACAATATGGCGCGAGGTCAGTCCTATTCTTATTTAAATCGATAGTACCTACATAGAAATCTTTTTGGTAAGCCAAATAATTTTATTTTTAATTTTAATATTAAATGTTTTTAAAATATCGAGTTGTTTTATTATCAAGACAACAAAATATTCTACTCTGAATTCCGGATATTGTAATCATTATCAACCTGTAAGCACTTCTCACGTCACTTCATCATCATTACAGCTCATCACAAAAGCACTGCTGAACATAGGCCTTCCCCAGGAATTACCACAAAGCATCACATATAGCTGCAGCATAGTTCTACTAAAGCCAGCTGTAGTGATAAAGCCATACTTATGGTTGCAGCACGAATCGGTCGGCTTGACCGGGGAATAACCAGACTCTCACAGAATATCGACGTAAAATAGCAGCTCAATGCTGCTGTTTTTCTAATGATGCATGTAGAGAACCGGAGACCCTTTTTAGCCTATTAAAGTGCCATTACAGCCTATTAAAATCCACTGCTGAACATAGGCCTCGCTGATTGCCTCATAGGGGAGATATTTGCCATAGTTGTAATGTTACTGTTGATTTGAAAATTTTACCTCTCAGTTGGTCATGTGACCGGGGAAGGACCACACTTAATGTTGCTGTGTTTTGTATGTAAAATATCGGCGTGCGCTGAAACTATCAAGCGTCACATGAAAACGGGGATCTGTTATGAAGATGCTTGGCAATTAACGACAGTGAGATTAGTATCTGCTGCTGAGTCCCACTGTCTATCGGTTATATGCCAAACGTACTGGAATGAGATCACACGGTTGACCGCATCGTGCAGCACCGACGTCAAGATAGTGATGGAGCAGCTGGCTACCCTCTACCTTATATATTGGGCATTGGAGAGGTCGGGTGACCTATTGAGGTACTCCACAATATCTGAAAAAGATCTCAACCGTCTACAGGAGAGATATGAAGAGTTGTTGGCTTTGATAAGGCCGAATGCGGTGGGCTTGGTTGATGCATTTGATTTCAGGGATGAGATCTTACGATCCACTTTGGGTGCGTATGACGGTCGAGTCTACGAGCGCTTAATGGAAGCAGCTCTGAAGAGTCCACTCAACGACGGACCTGTCCAAGCAAGCTTTCACAAATATATCAAGCCACTGACCAAGGGGAAACTGTGATATATACCCATTTGGGGAATCGAAATATTTCTGTCTATGGTTTATAAATTGTTTATAATATTATAATCACATTTACTAAATAATACTGACATGGGATTTACATTAAAAAACAATAACACGCAATATACCCTAACACACCTTATGTACATGAATGACATAAAGTTATATGCTGCAGACAAGAATGCACTATTCCAACTAACAGACACAACACAACAATTTTCACAAGATATTTATATGTCATTCGGAGTAGATAAATGCAAAATCGCCGTGTAGTGGCGGTCAAGAATACCACTACCACATATCCTCCCGTGGGTGTCGTAAAAGGCGACAAAGGGAAACAGGCAGGAGATGGGCAGCAGCATCTTCCTGATAATAGGCAAAATTACAATAAAAAATACCCCCCAATGGATAAAGCAACAAACAGACGGCCCCCGGTGGCCCCGCTATTCCTGGCTACGGTGGCGACCATGGTAACGGCGGGGCAGGGGGTGCTAAGAATCTCCGGCGGAGGTTCGGTTGCCACCTTAGACGACTCGACCTGGCAACGTACAACGCACGCACCCTGAGGACTGACGAGAAGATCGTGAAGCTGGAAGAAGAGATAGACAAGTTGCGCTGGCATATTATAGGATCATCCGAAGTCCGAAGAGAGGGGGAGGACACGGTAATCCTCGAATCCGGCAACTTGCTCTATCACCGGGAGGGCGACCATCTGTCCCAAGGAGGTGTCGGATTTATCGTCCACAAGTCTCTCGTTAACAACGTTGTAAAGATCGGGAGTGTGTCGACGAGGGTTGCGTACCTTATACTCAGAATCACCAAACGGTATTCGCTGAAGGTCATACAGGTTTACGCACCAACCTCGGCACACCCCGATGGCGAGGTGGAGGAAATGTATGAGGATATCTCTACAGCCATGCATTCCTCCAAAACCCAATATACGGTGTTAATGGTGTCAATGCAAAACTAGGCACAAGAGAGAACGGTGAGCTGAAAGTAGGGAAATTTGGAATAGGGCAACGGAACCCAAGGGGCCAGCAGCTGGCCGACTTCATGTAGAAAGAGGGACTCTTTATGATGAACTCTTTCTTCCAGAAGCGGCCCCACAGGAAGTGGACCTGGTCGAGCCCCGACGGTTCGACAAAAAATGAGATTGACTTCATTATGACGACCAGACGACAACTGTTCAGTGATGTCTCCATGATCGCGAGGGTGAAAACTGGTAGCGATCACCGAATGGTAAGAGGCACACTGAACCTAAACGTTAAGTTGGAGAGGTCTCGTCTAATGAAGTCAACGCTCCGTCCCCCTCGTGCTCTGTTCCAAAGTCCCGAAACCTTTCAGCTCGAGTTACAAAACCGTTTTCAGTGCCTAGAAGACTGCAATGAAGTGGACGATATGAATGACAAGCTCGTGGAAACTGTCCATGCGGTCGGAGCTAAGTTCTGCAAGACCCGCCGCAGAAGAACACAAAAACTCTCCGATCACACTCTTAATCTCATGGCTGTTAGACGGGAGATGAAGCTACATTCTTCAACAGACTTGACAGCATACAGGCATCTGAACAGACAGATCTCCAAATGCATGCGGCGGGACTTACGCAACTTCAATACAGCTCGTATTGAAGAAGCGATCGAGCGGAACCAAGGCTCCAAAGTCTTTGCCAGAGATCTGTCTGCCAGAAAGAGCCACCTGTCAAAGCTGAAGACAGAATGTGGCAGCATCGTTTCCGGGACACCTGAGATTTTGAGTGAGATTGAGAGGTTCTATGGGCAGCTGTACACGTCATCGTTGGAGCCACACGCAAGTGTGAGTAACGATCCAAGAGCGAGTCTCATCCGACACTATTCCGAAGATATCCCGGACGTCAGTCTGAGCGAGATTAGAATGGCTCTCCAGCACCTTAAAAACGGTAAGGCCCCAGGCGAGGATGGAATTACAGCGGAGCTTCTGAAAGCGGGTGGAAGACCGGTACTTGAAGTCCTTCAGAAGCTCTTTAATTCCGTCCTCCATGGTGGCATTACACCGGAGGCGTGGAGCAAAAGTGCGGTGGTCTTGTTCTTCAAGAAAGGTGACAACGCTCTCTTGAAGAACTACAGACCGATTTCCCTTCTGAGCCGCGTCTACGTGCTGTTTTCGAGAGTCATTACGAATCGTCTCGCGCGCAGACTTGACGACTTCCAGCCTCCCGAACAAGCCGGTTTCCGAAAGGGCTTTAGCACCATAGACCACATACATACCCTTCGGCAAATTGTACAGAAGTCCGAAGAGTACAATTTGCCACTATGTCTGGCGTATGTGGACTATGAGAAAGCCTTTGATTCCGTCGAAATTTGAGCGGTGCTGCAGTCCCTTCAGCGGTGCCAAGTTGACTGTCGGTATATCCAAGTGTTGAAGTGCTTGTACAGTAGGGCTACGATAGCTATCCGAGTACAGAACCAGAGTACGAAACCTATCCAATTGCAGAGAGGTGCAAGACAGGGTGACGTCATATCCCCGAAATTCTTCACCGCTGCATTGGAAGACGTTTTCAAGCTTCTGGACTGGAAAGGATACGGTATCAACATCAATGGCGAGTACATCACTCACCTTCGATTTGCCGACGATATAGTCCTTATGGCAGAATCGCTGGAGGACCTAAGCACTATGCTCAATGACCTCGATAGTGTTTCCCAACGGATAGGTCTTAAGATGAACATGGACAAAACAAAGATCATGTTCAATGTCCATGTCACACTCTATGCCGGTAGTTGTTGGGAGCACTAAGCTCGAAGTTGTTGACGAGTGTTTACCTGGGACAAATAGTCCGACTAGGTAAGTCCAACTTCGACCGAGAAGTCAATCGACGGATTCAACTCGGCTGGGCAGCGTTCGGGAAGCTACGACACATCTTCTCATCAGACATACCTCAAAACCTGAAAACGAAATTGTACAACCAGTGCGTGTTGCCAGTGATGACTTATGGAACTGAGACGTGGTCCTTCACTGCTGGCCGTATGAGGAAGCTCAAGGTCGCTCAGCGAGCTATGGAGAGGGCTATGCTCGGAGTTTCTCTGCGTGATAAACTTAGGAATGAGGATATCCGCAGTAGAACCAGAGTGACCGACATAGCCCAACGGATTAGTAAGCTGAAGTGGCAATGGGCCGGCCATATAGCTCGAAGAACCGACAACCGATGGGGAAGAAAGGTTCTCGAGTGGCAGCCTCGTACCGGTAGGCGATGTGTAGGGCGTCCCCCCACGAGATGGAGTGACGACCTGGTAAGACATGCAGGAAGTCGATGGATGCAGGTGGCTCAGGACCGTGCTTTGTGGCATTCTTTGGGGGAGGCCTATGTTCAGCAGTGGACTTGTAAAGGGCTGTAATGATGATGATGATGATGGTCATGTGCTCCTTGTAGATTATCTTCTATACATCCATCCATTACAGCCTAGTCCACTGCTGAACATAGGCCTCCCCTACAGATTGCCACATAGGGGAGATATTTGCCATCGTTGCCACGCTTGGCAAGCGCGTTGACAACCGCAGTTTTATAATTTAAATCGTTATTAGGAAGACGCTGCTGCCTATCTTCTGATTTGTTGGCCTCTGTTGCTTCTTACGACACCCACGGGATGATATGGGAGTAGTAGATATTCTTACACCGCCACTACATAAAAACATTGGAGAGTCAGTCTGTAATATCGATGTAAATACCATATTGAACTGAGGTTGTTATTCGCAATAACCATTTTCTTTGTCTGTCTACCCGGGGTAACCTACGGAATAGCTAAATAGTTTATAATATTTACAAATAGATAGAGAGCAATGCCCGGAGTGATCTAGGTAATATTTTATCCAAAAAACTGACTTTTATTAATTACGAAAAATTTATGAAATAAAATGGTATTTGCCACATTATTAGAGCCTACCATAGATAAATAAATATGTAGGATCCTACCCAGAAGAAACCAAAGCGAATCGCTAGCAATTAATTACTAGCGATTAATACCTATAAACTTTTAAATTAAATTTACTTTTTTAATTATTTTAAAATATATACCTATTACAGTGCGTACATATTATATAACATAACATGTTATAACACATTGTTTCAGTAATGTGGAAACTTAATGTTATAGAACGTGTTATATAACTTTTAAGAATTATGTATAAAATATCACGTATAGATCTTATTCTTGATTCATCCATTTAGAACTTAAATAAATTGCACAAATACTGTTTATATAAGAACTATGTTGCAACTTAAGCGTTGAAAATTCAAAAAGCAATTGACTAAACGGAATAAAACCAATTATTACGGACTTATCGTATTTCATTTTAACTTATTATAAATTCCTGACGTTTCTAGTGCTTTGCAGCGGCTGAGGTGTTGGATTAATGTTAAGAACCAGGTACTACTAACATGGCAACATTACCAAGATCAAATTCAATCAAATCAAGTAATTTATTTGCTATTAAGTGATATAATGGTCTTAGGCGAAAGTAACAATACTTACATTATGTACTTACAACTTTCAGGCGTTTTCAGGCGTTGCTTTGAGGGCGTTATACAAGACAAGGTATAAATAGAAAACATAATATTATTCTTACATATTACAACAGCTAATAATTAAATTTAAAAAAATGTCACTGAGTAAAATTCTTTCATATCGCAATAAATGTAAAAATAAATTAATAACTACTAAAATTAATTAAAATTAATAAAAAAATATAAAAAGTATCATAGTTATTTTTTTATTTATTACGATCTAATTATGTCAACAAACTTCTAAATATTCTTCGTAATGATTTCCTATGTTTACGCGAACACAACAAAGATTTCAGTTTTATTTAGTTATAACCGAATTCAAAAAAGGAGGAGGTACTTTATTCAACTGTATTTTTTATGTGTGTTACCTCAGAACTTTTTTCTAGGTGAACCCATTTTAATGATTCTTTTTTTTATTTGACAGCTGGTGCTTCTTATGTGGTCCCATATAAATTTGATCAAGATCTGA